CCCCCCACTTTCCCCTTCATATATAATTCGGCCTTAGGGCCATGTTGTAAGGCAGTTTTTTTTTGATGAATTAAAACATTACTCTTTGAGTATATTTTAAATAGTGTGATGCTATTTAAGCCAAATTCCTAATTCTATATCTTAAGAGTGGTTATCTTAAGTGTGAGTTTTAGGTTCTAGATATTTAAATAAGTGTGTAATATCTTATTTGAATTCTAGATTCAAACCCCAAGTTAAGATAAGAGTGTGTCATATCTCTTAACACTAACTTGCTTTATCATCTCCTATTTTATTCCCCCATTTCGTGCCTCCCCATATTCTCTTCCTAAACCTCTTCTTTTTCTTCATTAAAAAACACCAAAAGAACTCCCCTTTTGCCCCATAATATTTCGGCCACCCCATTTCCCCCTCACCTCCCCGTAATTCCTTCTCTAAAATAGCAACGTGATAAGACCTCGGGTCTCGGGTATAACATTTTATGGTGTAAATTAGGTACGTATATATTCATTCCGATTTGTACCGAAACAGATACCGAACCATCCCGAACCATACCAAACCGATGTTTTGGGATCGGGATTGGTACAACATAAAATCCCATACCAAACCGAAATATTTGGTACGGTATCGGTACGAGCTAAATACCGTACCATACCGTACCACGCTCACCCCTAATGGCAACATTCAAATCACTGTAGCTGCAGCTGACTAATGTAGTCCTTCTTAACTGCCGAGCACTTCGCATCGTACGAGTTACGACATACCATGGATTAGTAGAACTTCCCTTTCATCCTAGCTGAAATCTTCTTGTTGCATAGAACCCTGAGGCTAATATCTCTACTTCGCCAAAGTTGCTCCAATACAATGTGTAACATCAGTGCCTAACTCCCCATCCGCCTGGATGATCGAAAAAAGATACTTAAGCTTGTCTTTCTTTGGTACTTGGCGGGAATCACTCCTAACTTCCATCTCTGAAACCGTCATCGGCCGCTAAAGCAACATTTCATGTACTTAGTATTAGTCCTATTCAAAAACCTTTTGACCAAGATTTTAAAAGGCAAAAACTAGTCTCGAGGTGGTGGAACAAAATGGCTTGAGGCGTAAGCCTCAAGGCGGAACCAAGTGTATGCCTTAGTTCAACATTAAAAAAATAATACTAAACTATGTACTCCAAGGTAAAACAAAATGCATAATCCATTATAATGTTAAATAAATGACAAAATTATAATTCCTGAATATTACAAGTGATACCCTAGATGATACCCAAAACCTTCGTGGTGTGCCTAAGAAGGTTGATGCATTTATAAATATTACAATTCTGAATATGACTCTTACCCTTTTACAATGGTACTAACACACTTTCCCTCCACTCGTCAAGCATCCTAGCTGTCCTAAAAATAATATTGAAGAGCTTAATTACCCAAACCAGCCCACTGTTTTGTATAGACTTCTGAAACTCCACCAAAGTGTCATCTAGCCCCAAGCTTTCCCCTTTATCATCCTGCGGATAGCCTTTTCCACTTTTTCGTGGCTAATGCATCGGCAATACCCAAAGTCTTGATGCCTCTTTGACTGTGAAACTCCTCTAACTTTAGCCGCATCGCATTCTGCATTTAGGTCATGGATGTAGTTCTCTTGTGGTAAGACACCGCTAATTAGTAAAAAGTAAATTGTATCACATAAAAAAATTGACGTAAATGAACATTGTTAGTCTCCAAGTCATTTTTGTGAGGCACATCATATCCTGTGATTATTTCAGTGTATTAAGTGCGGTTAGAGATTATTTTTTTTGATCAATCAAATTTTGAATTATTTTTGCCAATTTGTTCCCATTCAACTAACTTCAATAAAATGGCTCTTTTTCTCCCTCTACTTAACAAAAGTAAAAAATCTTTAAAATGTTGAAAAAATGTACTTCCTCCGTCCCAGTTTGACTTTCATGGTCACTCTTTTAACTTCTCACTTTCCTTTTCAGGCTGTCAAAAAAATTATCGTCCCATTTCCATAAATGGCAAATAAATAAGTAGTAAAGGTCTTTTATACCCTTGAAGATCTATCCCGCCTCTAGTCTCCACTCTCCGTCATATCCTCCTCACCAATAGTTGCTAGTTGGCCTTCTCTATCTGCATCTCAATTATATCTTCATTCACCCTACACATCCCTTCGTCTTCCATCATCTTTGAGAAGGGACAAAGAGAGATTGCGTGCTACACTGTTCAAGTAGTTTGAACTGTCTTCAACTAATTTACATTGGATTGCTACTACTTTAATTTATGAAAGAGATCGAGATAGAAAGAAGTAGATCTAATTTGATGTTGTCTCTTTAGCTTTGGGTTCACTCATATGTGATTTTACTCTTTTCAAATTAGGGCTTTTCTTGAGCTTTGACCATTTCTTCTTTGTCAAAGAGCTAATTCCATGAAGACATTCGAGAAGGGAAATCTCAATTTTTAGCTAGTTGGGAATCATAGATCGGAGGGTTTTTAATGTTCTGCAATTTTGCTTGTTCTTTCTGTTTTTTCTTCCAATGGATAATACTGATGGTCAGCGTATCCTTTTGGTAAAATCTCAAGATCTAATTCAAAAATTAAAAATACGGAGTGCCAGATCTGAAACGTTCATTCTTATTCTTTAATGGCATGACACTGCCAGGGGGTGGTGGCTCTGTCATGGATCCAACAAATCCAATCGGAGTGAGCAATTAGAGGACCAATAATTTTGGATCAGAGTGCAGCAACAGAGTGAGTGCATTTGTGGAAAGTCAATAAAAATTTTACACTTCCTTAAAAATCATTCCCAGTCAAAGTGGGAAAATAAATATAGGACGGAGGGAGTATATACATAGAGATATTAATTGTCAAAGTGTTGCATTGAAGATTGTGAAAAGTCAAATGAGAAGTTAATTTTATGACGGAGGAAATTATATTCATTTAACTTCTTTCAATTTTTTTCAACTCCTTCGTACCTCTTTCCAAATTCATTTAACTTTAAGTTTCTTCCAACTCCTATCTTCTTTCAACTCCTTCTAGCTTCTTCCAACTCCTTTTGGTTTCTTCCTACTCATTCCTGTTTCTTCGAACTCGTTCTAGTATCTTCGAACTCATTGTAGTTTCTTCCAATTCCTCTCAAATTCTTTCATATACAACGATGTTTTTCCAACCCAAAAGACATAGATTTGTTGGGCGAATTGAGTGTGGAGGCTCGACTAAGAAGGGCAGCCGGCCCTAGTCTTGGTTATGGCAGTAAATTAGGTTTTTAATTTAGCCGGCCCTAATTCTCTATGTGGGCTTGGGCCTAACTTGGGGATTAAGTTTTCAACCCTAGTTTAGTCTTCATAAATAGGGATCTCTGTACTTGTAATTCTGTGAGCACCTGAATAATAAAAACCCTAGTTGCAAAGTGGATTAGGTCAGCCGACCGAACCACTATAAATCTTGTGTTCCGTTTTTCTCCGTTTTGATTTCTGGTTTGTGTGTGTTCTTGTTTGGTTGTGTTTTGTTTTATTTCCCAACAAGTGGTATCAGAGCGCAAATTGTGAGATATTGTCACCTAGGGTTCTTGTGTGAAGAACCGTGTGGATCTAGATCGGGGGTGTGTGGCCGTTCAATTGAGGAGCGCCGCTGTGTAGGCTATTTGCGTAGCGGCAGAAGCTTCTATCCAGAGGAGGGACGCGCAGCAACGAAGAACCA